TGCAAAAGAGAACAGGGAAAGGCGTCCCGAGCGGCTGGTGGTTCTTTTTACCTTCTTGGCTTTAGAGCTCCCTCCAATAGGTGCCATGACGACCCACCCCCGCCAGCCGCGCTTCTCGTCGTCCGCCGCCGGAACGCAACCCTCCCCTCACAAAGCAGGGTAAGCACATCTCGCCAACCTCGCATTTTATAGGCTCGAGGCTGAGGTGGGCGGATTCGGAGCCGGGTGCGGATTGGGAGAAGCCTGAAGGCTCATTGCAGAGCCGGCGGTTTCTGTACGCTAAATGCCCCCTTCGGTCTCCCCCCGCCGAGATCATCCGCAGCTCGGCTGCGAGGCACGAAATAACCGCCGAATGCGGGGCAGCTGCTCCTGTAATGCAGAGAGGCGCCCCCCCAACCCGACCACCCACCCCTCTCGAAGAACTGAACGAAGCCGCTTGCCTGCACACCAGACCCGAGAAGCGTATCCAAGCAATAAACAAATGGAAGCATCACTAAGGGCAGCTTCCCTAAATCTAATAGCCTCCAGAAGTGTTGGGCACAATTCCCATCATTCGCAATTACCACCACCTTGTCCCGAAATGATGTACGGGCCACGGGAACCGTATTCCAAGCTTTCGGACGATGCCAGATGGGGAAAAGGCGTCGCTTCCATCGAAAGACCGCGATTTAATGTGCTATGATTTCCACCACGGACCCGTACGTGGACGCATGTGCATGTGTGTACGTGCTGGTGGAAATATTGTACCCCTCAGCGCTCGGTTTCTCCGTACTCTCCGAAGCAGCTGACGCGTACTATTACCGAAGTTTTAAAACAGTGCGCCTATTAGTAAGAAAGACTGAAGATTGTTTTGTTTGGCTGCAACCTTTTTCTCCGAACTTCCACGGAACGCCAAGTTAAATGGCGTTCCTAACCCAGCCAGCAACATACGCATCGGACTCCCAATTACAAACATACAATCGCGCACGTGGCCGTTGTCAGCGTGAATATCCGACGACCCCAACGCTCCCGCTGACCCTGCTTTCCAAACCACCCGCCGCCCCTCCTCGGCCCCCAGGTCACTCTAGCCCCGCTTCTCCTCGCCCCCTCCCCCTTGGTTTCCCAGGCAACCACTTGGACGGAGCCCAGGAGCGACGCGGGCGAGACATTCGGAAATGTCT